ACGCGGATGTGAACTGTTCCCAGAAGATTGGTTCTAATTGATAGCTTGTTTAAACAGTAGGGAGTGTTAGCAACGTCAGACCAGATATGGTGGACCGGTGACTGATGACGTTTGCACACATGCACGAAAGCACATTTATCCTCTACCAATTAGCATCATCTACGGCATCAGTGAAACATACGCCCACCTTATAAAATAAAGTGCACTGTGTAGCGGTGCCCAGTGTTCTACTATATAGCTATGAATCATAACAGTTGAAAGCCGGCCATATGAGATGGCCGCTGGCATTCCACCAGTATTGCTATCGTCTTTGCTTCGTTTTTGTTTATTAGCTTTTCACGGCTACCTTCAGACTTTGACTACAATATTTTACATTTCCTTTTTTTCATCTTATCGCCTCGTACTTCAGTTTGTTAGCAGACTGTGTCTTATGCTGATACTGCCTGATCAAAAACTTTCATGTAACAGATTGTGTTATGATTGGTTCATACTTCCATGTGTTACATAGTTCCACAATTTATGTGACTTTGAAAAATGTAAAATATAAAATATGAAGCAAAACTGTGCGCAGGTGTATTTATTTCGGATTAAAGAATAGGAATAACTTAAGACTAATCAGACGTCACATTGGTGTTTAGACTCTGAAGTCATCCAAGGGAAACTACTCTTGATAGGTCGTAGAAATGAAGGTTAAAAATTACCTGTTTTAAGTTGGAAAGAACTGTTTTACACTAGTTTTTGAAAGCATTCAGATTATAACTCGTGTTTGGAAGTGTGAACCTGCTCACGACTAATTAGAAGGAACACTAAAATAAACCGTACCGATTATTCACTGTTGACCGTTTATTTTGTAAATATCAGGCTATTAAATATTAGATGCAATAAGATAATCGGGGGAAAATCTCTGTGCCTGATTTTTCCTTCTTCTTAGCACTTATCAGCGAGCCAGAACAACAACCATGAGAGGATAGGTGTTTTCTTGGTTATTTGAACCTGCGTCAGTAGTTGCTGAAATCGGAAACTTTATCACCAATTTAGTGAGTCTACGACTAAACCATCGTAGGACTGGGTTTACTAGTAGGAAATCAGTAAACTGGTAGCGAAATTCATGTTTGGTGAACAAACATAATGTTTTCTGGCGAAGTCTTGAGAAGGGACACATTCCAAATCCTTCGAATATGGTCTCAATAAATTTAATGTTAATATATCGTAATTGAACACTTAACTTTTATTCGAGTTGTATAACCTCATGCAGTGCATTACACTTGAGGCTTTTCAACCGCCTAATTCTATAATTTCAGCTTAAATATTATCTATCTATATATTTCAGTATAGCAAGCTAAGTCACTGAAAGCTGCTTTTTTTCTCTAGTTCCAAAATACCAACTTTATTTGACAAAATTATCTCGTAGTTGAATAGTTATTAATAATGAACATCTTAAGACTGTTTATTTCCCCGCATCTGAAATAAATTGACGCTAGTTTTTGGGTCATATTTCACTCGTGATTCATGACTGATATGTGAATGCATTAGAAAGGTTATATTTTAAACATTTACTATCTGGTTTTAGCATTTATACAGCTGGGATCAAGGTGACATTTAGGCTCAAAAACTAGTTTGTGGGTATAAAGATCCTACTGATTCAAATGAGAAAGAAAAAACTTAGTTTACCAAACATCTTGCAATGATCACGAGGTCAAATACACAAGCCAAAGTACCCAACCAGTGTGACTTGGAATAACGACACGCAGAAACATAGCTAGATGAAAATGAGCAGATCCTAATAAGATAAGCAATATAGAAAATTGACATAAGTTGGAAATGTGGACTAGTGGGTCCCGACCCAGTGTTTGGTCCTTGGCGAAGTGACTCATGCGTGCTTCAGAGGAGTCCCATACTAAGACGAAACAGCTGTCTAAGAGTCCAATGTTCCTACAACTGCTGTCAGTCTTTGATGAACTGCAATCTGAAAATTTAGAAAAAAGCCTAACCGTAGCTATGCATACAACTACACTCAGTCACACAAGAGGGTAGGACAGACTGATAGTATTAAAAACCTAGTTGGGTAAAGGGAAAGACTGATAAGTGGATCAACATCAAATATATGCATTCGAAATCATTCTGCACCTGTTTTAGGTATGTGGAAAATTTTACTACCTATAGCACTAAAAGAGTTAGGGGATTAGACTTACATAAGCCATGTGGAGTTACCTGATATGAATATAGACAGTTAATACGACTGTTTCACTCTGACAATTCTAACAAACAGATTAAAATTGAATTAAAATCTACAACAGTGCCCAACTTTTACTCCGGTACTTTTTATTTTCATCTGGCATATTTTTTGGACAGCGTAAGTGTGATGCATTGTTTTACGTAGTTCTTGATAACGTGGAGCACAGATAGTGTAAATTTTCGAAAGCAACTTTTTAATTTCACCTAAGTATTTGAGCAGTGTGATTTCATACATTTTCGGACTTTCTAAGTGGTCATTATTAGACCAACTTTTTATTGAATTATTTTCTATGTATCTGCTTGTTTGTTTAGTATCTGCTAATTAAATGATTACTTGAGAGAATACGTTAAAAAAATACTACATATCGAAAATAAATGTTCTGATCCAAGAATCATATATTTTATTTATTAGAAACCTCTGATTATTTTACAAAAACTAAGTAAACTTTCGGAAATCTTGAGGAAGGTAAAATAGATTAAATATGCTTTGAGAAGTATAATTCTTCATAAGTGAATATAAATTTAAGTTAATGTAACTGTTTCATATCATCTAAAAGAACCCACGCATGACTGTATGGAAAAGTAATTTGTGTCTATATTACTTTGTAAATTCTTCACTATTTTTCACCTACCTGGTAAATGAAACCTGTCCTATTTTTGTTACTATGTTTAACAAATTAATAATAATATGGAATTAGAAGTAATTTGAATATATTCTCCTACTTATGTAAATGCATGTGACCATAAATTTGTATAGTTCGTGTCTGCTTATGCTGAATAAGTATGCAGTGTAGTGACACTCTTTTCAACTTTCATATCATTTGTTTGTATTCTTTATAGAGAGAACTGAGTAGAAGGAACAATATCATGTCTGGTAATCCCATTGACTGGATGTATCAAAGTAAGCTTTTTCTGTCATCTTGAATGTACATACATGTAGTAATGTGCTTACCTTTAAGGAAACTTTTGTCTGTCTTACAGTTTATATTTTCTATATATGTGTATATAATAACGTTTTTATTATATCTAACCAGACGTTTCAAAATGATACATATCTGAATGACATAGTGGACGGGATTAGTGTTATTATTTATTTTAGATGTAATACACATGTATACATTTGTACAGAATGAATTAGTTTTCTGGAAAAAATAGGCTAAAAAAACTTGTTTCCATTGCTTCTTTAATCAACTCACTAATATCTTTAATATGTAGAACTCAGTAGTGATATCTAAACAAATAACATAGTTGCTTTTATTCCAATTAGGGTTAAAACCATTTAAAAAGTATTTATCAAACTTTATTCCTTATCCATTTGTATATGGAAAAACTGACGTGCCGCTGATATATTAGCGAGGTTTCAAAGAAATATGTCTTTGTAACCAACAAAATAAACATGTATAGACAAACGTCATATGATATCAGATGTTTGTTTAACAAGTAGCTGTGTAGCTTATTCGAGTTTAGCTATCAGAGAGTCTTAAACATTAAAAAACGTGAAGGAACATAGCCAAACAACAAAAATCACATTAGCATAACATAGAAACGATTACATTCAAATTATTGCTGAAAATATTAACTTATAATAAATAATTTTAATGAAGATAAATATTTAGACAGGTTTAGTTACCTACGTTCTCTAATCGTTTGTTCGGTAGCTGATTGGTGCTTTTTACTACACTAACAAAAACAATGAACCATATTCTGTTACAAAACGTCTCTCCGTCTTCACTTGATGTCTTTGAACATACGAGGATATGTAAAATATTCTTGAAGAAGGATGAAATAAATGGGCGTACAGCACTCTGATGTTTTGCTCTTATAAGGAGATTTCTACTGGGGTCACATTCAATGACAATCTATGACTTTCTGAATCAAGTCCAACAAATCATTTCAGTTAGTTCTTGATAAGGTTACAGATTCAATTAACATCGGTGATGCCTTTTTTCAGCATATACCTGCATGTCTTGTTTTTGAACAGATTTTGGAAATTAGTTAAAAGTTTCTTATTGAATCTTATTCAGTTGTTTTCACTTCTATAATAATTCCTCATCACTCTTATTCACATCGCATAGAACTTGTACGAATATAAGTAACTTCAAACAAATGAAATTTCCCTACTGGATACTGATTCACAAATAATTAAAATGATTTTAAATAAACTCAATGAAATTATCCTGATCTAATTTCATTTGCAGAAATATGAGTTACGCATTCTACAATAATTTGAAAAAGGAATAAAGTAAGTGACCATTAGAATAAAACCGAATACTTATGCATTTCAAGTGAAAAATATAAAGTTTTATAAGACTTAGTACTTTCTTTACTTGTAACCTAACTACATAATACTACATGAAAGTTATCGAGGTTTATGACAACAGAAACTCAAATGAAAGTGGATGCATTTTGGAGCGATGATAATCACTTTGTTTAGGTTTTGTCTTTACTTTTGAATGAATACTTTTGCACAGTGAAATAAGTTATATCAACCATGAAGGTTTACTTAAACACAAATAAACCTGAAAGTATTACATATTCACACCTTTTAGGAAGTGACTGCATGCATAAAACAACAGTGAAACACACTAACTGTTTTGAACGTGTAAGACCCTAATTCACAGCTAATAAGAATCCTACAGTAGTAGACAGAACGATACTCTCAATAAGTATCCAAGCGTATTTCGGTGAGGACTTAATAAATAAGATGGAAGAATAGATGTCTTCACTTTTTCACACTCTCTTCAACTAGTAAAAGAATAACGTTAGAACATTTCAAACTATATTTGATCGCACGTTAGTATTCAATATATTCTTACAATAATATATGTTTTGAACTGGCCCTTTTCTTTGTTTTTATTATTACTAATTAAATTAATTTTTTACATTTTATCATATAGACAAAGATATACAATCATTAAAAAGTAATGACGACAGAAAACAAAAATACACAATCAGAATGAAAAGGAGACAGAGTCATGTGTAGCGAATGCATATTATGTAGATTGTTGATAAAACTGAGAAATGCATTGAATTGTATAATTGTGCATGATATCTTTTTAGAATTTATTCCTTCATATAGTAAAATCTTTTAGCAAATGCTGACTGTCTAATAACCTTCACTTCGAGGAGGGAAATAGAAACGATAAATTCAAAGGTAGGAAGAAACGAAATACCACAAGACGGAAATGATTGATCTGTTGATCGTTTTATCATAAAAATCAAATATATGAACTTATCATCAACGCAAATGATAATAACAAAATATATAATCTTAGATAAAAGTGGAAACATGTGATGAGAGTGAAGTTACAGTATCGTTAGGCGATAAACACTTGGAATTAATATTCATTAAATTGTGTTCTGTTGGAGATTTGGCTATAAGATTGACTTGCTGTCGTTGTTGTCGGCAGTGCTGATTTTGTTCACTTGAATCGCAAATAATCTTAGACGGTAACTGGATTAATTTATTTATTGAGTTCGGTATCAGTGTATTATTTTGTACATGATATTGTCCACCATCACAAGTGTTATCATTAATTATATCATTATGTCCATTTACTTGAAAACTCTGACCTTGAATATCCGTTGAACAAGACTGTGAAGATCCCCTATCGTCATCACTGTCAACTTTATTTAGCATATTACTATGCTTATCATTATCATCATCTTTCTCATTATTAAAATTTTCATTTGTCTCAGTGATGCATTCTTTAAGTATTCCTGTTGGCGAAATAATGAATAAGGAGGATTTGTCTTTAGGACACTTTATTGGTGGACAGTTATGCACTGTTACTCTAGAACTGGATAATTCTATATCATCAGGTTTCAACGATCCTAAAATGAATATGAATTTTATACTGAAATAATAAATTGTTTGAGATTATAATTGACCAGAATATAATAATTCTAGATGGTAACATTTGAAAAAAATGTACACAGGATCAAGTTGTTAAAAAACACATGTAAGACGATAGACGTTTTTGGTTGTAGCAGTCGATTCTGTGTACATTGACGGAACCAGCGGTGCACTATGTCTTTCTATAGATACTTAGGGTGTAGTGTGACTTATTCGACAGCGACAAAGAACTTTGGCAACGAATCAACCAAGAACCTATCGCCCAACAAATATGCAGAAGAAAATGGAGATGGATTGGGCATACACTAAGAAGGCCGACTGGGGACATCATGCTCCAGGCCCTTGAGTGGAACCCAGACAGGAAACAACGAGTTGGGCGTCCGAGGGTGACATGGAGAAGATCGTGCGAGGAAGAAATAAGAGCTCGTGGTCTGTCTTGGAGCCAGGTTCAAAAACTTTCAGAGAACAGAGTTCACTGGAGGTGTGCTATTGATGCCCTATGTTCCATTAGGAACCCAAGAGACAAATAATATAATAATGACTTATTCGACATGTATTTTTGTGCAATTCACTTATGTGTGAACCATTCATATGTTCACATTTGCACTGTCGAAAGACATCGTTAGTTTTATAGCTGCGAGCGTGTTCATGGGATTGTGTTAATTAAACAATATATATATATATTTATATAAATTTCAGCGAAAACAACAGCGTTAGCGGAATAGCATGGATTCATTTTATTTCACGGTTCTTCATCAGCTGCTTAAAAGCTGAAGAAGTTCTAATATCACTTTCCATAAGTGTTTTCATACCTTATCGAAAAAATGGTCAGTTTTAATGAAAGACAGCATCGATACGAGGTAATTGAAGCACAGTTACTCCTTACCAATGCTGTCTTTAATTCAAGGCAACAATTTTCTAGGAAACTGATTCATGTACGCAAACAATTATGCATACTGATGTGAAGATTGCTTTAGGTTGTGAGTATCTTATGAGAAACCGCGAAATGATGTAGATGCATGATATTCTGCTCAAGCTGTTGTTCTCGTTCTATATATATAAATGTGATCAGCAGAATGGTCACGCAGGCTTTTGTTTCCCACTTTTCATAAATGTCAGTAAACCCCTGAAGAACATAACAAAATATATCAATTTTTTGAAACCAGTTTAAACACGAGTCATGAGCAACTATCAAACAGTAAATCATGTAGAAAAAATAATTCAAGGATAACCTCCTGTCTAGTCTCCATTATCAAGCTAATGCAAATACCCGATAGTTGTCCATCTGGTTATGACATGCAGTATGCCACTCATGCGACTCAAGTGATAAAGAATCCTATAGGTGGCATTGTATGGGATAAATTTATTACTTGAATCCAGAATTTAAATGCCATATTATGTGATGGTTTGAGTTAGGTTACCTTCGGAAGATGTGATATTGCTTTTATTATCCTAACTTTGCTTGAACCGAATTGGTTGGTCCCCATTAGCATATGGGCTCCTATGTGGATGCCCCGATATTACCTGTTTTCGATTTTGATATAAGTGATGGACAGTGCCTGGTAGCGGAAACCATGACGCATGTTTCTTTGTTTTTGAGACTCGTCAGCAGGATATACCTACCTCGTGTTGTTCCCACTAAGACTTGGACGCGGGACCATTCGCTTCAAACTCCAAAGCGTTACCCACTGGACCGCTAAGTCATGATATCCACTTCTTGTGCAACGGGTATAGTTTATATGATGTCGCATGTATTATCCCATAGTTCAGTGGAAAATTGAGAATACAGGCAATATCAAGGCATCCGTCAAGGAGCAGTAGGCCACTACAGACCGATCAACTCATTTCAGTCAGCGATGAAATAATATAAGTGACATCAAGTAAACTATATTTGTTACACAAAAAGTGGCTATCGTGAGTTGAGGGCTTAATCGATAATGCTGTGGTGTTTGTAGTCATCGGCCCCGGGTTCCAATCTTGATAGGGGCAAGATCGCCCATTGTGAGGCAGGTAAATCCGACTGCCAAGTCTCAAAAAGAACAAACCATGGACGTTGGATTCCACTGCTAGCCGCTACCCATCATTAATACTTTAGGAAGAAGCGGATTTATTTTATTTGCAGCCATATAAACAGTTATCCTATGTCGCAGTACAGAATATGTTAACATTGATAGCTGTGTATGACTAAGCACACAAATTAGACGAAATAAAATACTATATATGCTTGAATATTTCAGGAAAGTAAATATAATTTCAAAATTATGTCACTTAAGTTATTGGAATACGCAGATAAATGCGTTATCACTGAAAAAGTGATCCAATTTTAGTTCAAACTGAGCCTAATTTTGTATTCAAAGAGTTTGTAATACAAAATATATTGAATGACTACTTAAAGAGATTAACATTATAATCGGCTTAGTGAAAACTTGCTGATTGTTACTTCTGACCATCCTTATGTAACATTAATCTGTGCGTTAAAACAGATATGTGGATTCGATTAATAAAAGTAGTGTTTTATGCTCATTTATCCCTAGTATTAATCTACATAATCACTTCATCAACAATTTTTAGTGACATTCCAGGGGACCTTGTCTTATTGAAATGTAACATACCCAACTATTTGAGTTCCGTCTAAAAAATGTTAAATTGTAATCGAAAAACCTTTTCAATCAATGGTGGTCTGATTGGTTTAAGATTTTATTGAATGAATTATTTCCGTTACTGACTTTACACGTGCTATAAGTATCATTTTAAGGAGAGGTGGTTGTTTCCTTCCTAATCTCCTGTATACTGCATCTCTATATAGTTGTCATGCCAAGTAATCCACAATGGGAAGCTCAGTGATGCCTTTGAAGTGAAGACAGGAGTGAAACAAGGTTGCCTACTATCCCCCATGATATTCCTTATTGTGGTGGACTGGATCATGCAGCAAACAGTAGGCAGCGAGAAGAGGGGGATACACTGGACGACGGAAAAGAACCTAGAAGACTTGGATTTCGCCGATGACTTGTGACTAATGTCACATAAACTTGAAGATCTGCAGGCAAAAACTAACAAGTTGATAGAAGAGGCAGCGAAGACGGGACTTCAGGTGAATATAGAGAAGACAGAAGTGATGAAGATACCGCACCACCACCATCAACAACAACAACAAACTCCAATCACCGTCAACGGGAGAAACTTGAAGGAAGTAACCTCCTTCACTTATCTAGGAAGCACTGTTTCAACTACAGGCGGGACGGACGAGGACGTCAAAGTCAGAATCGGAAAAGCAAGACAGGCGTTCATTAGCCTGAAACCAGTGTGGAGATCTTCTGCACTCAGCATGCGGAACAAGATACGGATTTTCAACACCAACGTCAAGTCAGTGCTCTTGTATGGCTCAGAGACTTGGCGCGCCACGAAAGGTATTTCCAATAAACTACAGACATTCATCAACAACTGCTTACGCTCGTTGCTGAAGATCAGATGGCCAGAAAAAATAAGCAACAAGGAACTCTGGGAACGAAGCAACCAAGAACCTATCACGCAACAAATATGCAGGAAGAAGTGGAGATGGATTGGGCATGCACTGAGAAGGCCGACTGAGGACATCACGCGTCAGGCCCTCGAGTGGAATCCCTATGGGAAGCGACGAGTTGGACGTCCGAGGGTGACATGGAGGAGGTCATGCGAGGAGGAAATGAGAGCTTCTGGGCTGTCGTGGAACCAGGTTCAAAAGATCTCAGAGAACAGAGGTCACTGGAGGCGTGCTACTGAAGCCCTATGTTCCACTCGGAACCCAAGGGACTAATAATAATAATATAATATTATAGTTGTCACTTGACTTCATCTAGGTATCAAGTTAGGGAAATTTCATATTTAGCTTCTGAGTTTACACCTTATTGTACTCCTATATTTTACCAGATTGTTGTTATTACCATAATTTGTCTGCTTGTCTTTTAACTGCTAGTGTACACTGGTTGAATGATCCAATCATAGCCGTAAAACTTGAAAAATATAAGTGTAAAAACGGATGTGTGCACCCGAATCGACGTCATGCTTCATGTCATTATTGATAAAATAATTTTTTGTTCACCAAAAGTATTTAGGTGACTCTTAGTCAGCCCAACACGTTACCACCTGCAAGTCAAAAAGTTCTTCTTAGTATTTTTTTGTTAGATATTTGATACATTTCTCTGAATTTTGAAGGCGGTAAGTGAAGTTCTATGCTTTATGTATATCAAGTATTACGCAGTTTTGATTTGTGACATTGTGTTTCTTTTGATTAATGTAATGAAACAAGTGAAGCATAGATGAGGTGTTACGTTGTTTAATGCTATTAGTAAGTTGGCGTTTACCACATTGGGGGTGGAATCACTCACCGCAAACTCTTAGTCATGGTAAAGGTATCACACAATGAATATAATTTTTAAGGGTTCAAATAGCAGAGATATTGGTTTGTATTTATTTATAAGGCAGACAAAGTCCATATGATTGATTATTAGGATAACTAAAACAAACCTAATTTTTTTGTATCAAAAAGTTAAACTTACCATCTTTGATGTTTTGATTGACAGATATTTTATCATCAGATTTATTAACTTGGCATTTATATGGTTGGAGAATTTCGTATTTCTGGTTAGGTGTATTCATCTGATGTTGATCTATAGTTTTATATCGTTGAGTAAAATAGTCATTTGGACTTGCAGGAGCTGAGTGTTGAACCTGCAGCAATGAAACCCATTTTTCTGAGGCAAAATCTTTACTGTCATTGAAATTTTCACCTTGTGGAAATTTTCTGTTGAACTGGAGTGAATTAGCAGTTATTGGCATATTGTAGTTGTATACAGGTCTCTGAAACTTCAAAATGACAATTATTTGCAATCAGATCAAAACCAATTAAATAGGCAAAAAGATGATAAGCAGGAAAAAGCTTTTTACAGACTCTGTGTTTGTTTTACTCTAAAGCGACAGACAAAGTTGATTTTTTCATTTACAATTATGTGAAATATATTAACAAGCTGTTGGATCTTTGCGATATTTGTCAAATAAAATACGATGACATGCATACGAATTTAAGGTTACTTTGACAATCTACTATTTGCTTTGAAAATTTTTCAAAAATTACGCGCTTCTGGTTATATATTTTTCCGAAGTTAAGACATGCATCTTTGATGTGAAACAAGCTGCACAGTACGACATATACGATGCTGAATCATTAGGAGGTCAAAAGGGTCGGAACAAGAATATAAATATCTAGTACTTTGAGCATAACAGTGAGATAGCATTACTTACAATATTTAATACTGTGTGACGTAGCAAACAGGATTACACAAAATCACCTTCTTGTATGGTGTGAAAATCCCGCCAAAGATAATTACTTAGTGGTTTCAAGCATTTCTTTGGGTCGAATGATCGTTGTCTTTATGAAGTAACCAGTTTATAAGTAGATAAAAACTGAAAATTTCTGAAATCTATGTGTCGGCAAATTACTTGAAATGGTTTGATCTTTGAAAACCCTTTTATAATACACTTTGAAAGTGATGAAATTAGCAGCGAAATTGAGAAACTCCAAATAATGTCCACGTTATAAGAATAGGTTACCAAACACTTGAAAAGTTGGTCAAGCGTTCGAAGTGATGGATACTGAGTTTGAGTCTCAGTGGAAACACCATTACTCACTGGGTTCCCGGTGCATCTAGCTGACCAGTCCCGAAAACGATGGAACAAGTGTCCTGTATTCCATTGCTAGTCATGAAGATGTATATACCTTGATGAACAGCGTTTATTGGCTACATTTTTTGTCTTGTTCTAAAACATGATCAGTCACACATCGATGAGACACTATCATTTCATAAGTAATTACTTAGTTATAAATTCTGGTTAGTAGTTTTGAAAATATGCCTGCAGTCTTCAATCCACTGGGTACATTGGCTCAGAAATAAGTAAAAATTAACAGGAAACAAGCAAGTGATATTCACCTTATTATAAATCTTGTCAGTAAAAGTCTACTCCATAAAACTAAAGATAATGGCCACTGATATGAATAAAATCACTGGGAAGGTTCTTGTATAATAGAAAGTTACCGGATTAGGAAACAGTCAAACTATAGTGTTAAATACAATATAAGATTTAAAGGTAATCAGACGTACTTTACATACAATAAGGTATATGAAAAAACCAGGTAGACAAAAACGAAAGCTACAATTTTGTTTTGTGTGAATGCCGTTGATCAGTGTAAGGCAATAATATCCTGATTCTTGTTACAGTAGGAAACTGTCTAACTGTCTTTCTGAAATTTCTCTTCCCTATTCCCTATGTATTTTTGTTACATTTCATAAAGATACCTAGTAAATTTCGGTGTGAATCAAATTAAACACAGAAATAAAGAAGTTTAGTTATTTTATGAGGTAAAGAAACACGCAAATTTTTGAAATGGTCAGTGAAATGCATGGATTGCTTTTTAGAATCTTTCCTATATCCCGTTGAATTTCTGAAACAATCTTTGTTACGTAGCCAAATGTCATACACTTAAATTATATCGACCCCCTATTCTCTATAATTTGTATCGATAAATTCATTTCATTTAGCTTTATTAACTAAGAAATTGATTAGCGCCTTATTCTTCTGCTGACAGGATACGTGGAATGTTTTAATCAACTGTATGTACAATGCTTATTTTTTATCACAGTCTGTGCATGATATGTTGGTTCATTATCTTCTTTGAAATAAACCTTTCTGATTTTTAACTCGCAAATTAAAGAAATAGTTTGAAGTCAATGAATAGTAAGAGCTTATTTTATAATACGTTACGTTTTGAAATCTCGCCAGTTTATTAATTCACTACCTTAATGGTCGGTCCCATGCCTAGATAAAGAGGGAAGGTTGAGCATATGGCTTGCAACCCCATACCAGAAAACCAATCCAATCACTAAAGATACTTCAAAGAACAAAGAATATTTAAAAAAGAAAAAGAAAATTATTCCTCAGGAAGATGAAATGATGCCGGTTGGTGAGAGCCTTCGAGCACACAATTGACCGATGTCTCTTCTCTCCCACTCTCTCGATCAAAGCCAAAGTGAACATGTGGATATAGAATGTCTGCATCATCCATTAACCTAACAAGGCTGATCAGATTGCAGAGAGATGAGAAGAAACAGCACAGAAGTGCTAGAATTTGTGAAAGCAGATGGAGTGGAAGTGGACTCTCTAAACTGCCAACTGGAGAGGAATCAACAATCTACTCCGATATTGTCACCCAGACGACATGACAACCACGAGTACACTGAGTTTTCAAATGACTATCATGATGACTCCAACACCATCGAAGGCTGTTTCTCATGCACTGGGAGTCAATCTCCTCCTCCAGGAAACAGGACCATGACACCAAAGTTCAAAGCGGAAGGAAGGCAAGTCACAATCATACAATGCTGCACTACACTACGCTATGCATCTACAAATAATGCAGATGAAGAGAGGAAGGAGGAATTCTACAGACAACTGCAATCAGTAATGGACAAGACACTACCGCAGTTGGTGATGGCAACATCCACGTTCTAATGCATGTGGTGACATGAGTGCCGAATTGGAAGCAGAGTACACAGGAAGCGAATTGATCATGGGTGGAGAAGCACTCGATGAAATGAGGAATGAGAATGGGGAATTGATTACATTCATCATCATAGAAGAGAGGGTAGAATGACAGTCTGTTCAACTCAACCTCTACTGCATCCATTTTGAAAAAGCCTGATTTGGCAGACAGTTGCTTCAACACTACAGTTTTATTGACACAAACCTCATTCAATGGCAGCCATATGCTACACGATGCTACATGCCAAGTGATTCACAATGGAAAACTGAGTGGTGCCTTTGAAGTGAAGACAGTTGTAAGTCAAGGCTGCCTACTATCACCAATGATCTTCCTGATTGTGGTCGACTGTGCTGGAATGGGTCATGCAAGAAACTGTGAGGAGCGAGAAGATGGGCATACACTGGCTGGCCCGATGAAGAGACCCTGAAAGATTTGGATTTCGCCCACGGTGACGATTTATGTCTACTGTCTTGTCGCACACACTCGAAGGTGTACAGACAAAAAGTAACAAGTTGGTAGAGGAGTCGAGGCAGCGAAGGAAGACGTGACTTCAGGTGAACGTAGAGAAAAGAGATATGATTGAGATATCCGACCAACAACAACAGCAACAACCACGAGCAACAATCACCATCAACAGGAGAAATCGACTCCTGTCAGCTCTATTCTTGGAAAACCAACCGAGTCTTAAACAGATGCATAAACATTTCGTTTTGGCATACATTTCCTCCCGAAAACGGGATAATGACATGCAAATCGAAAAAGGGTAAACAATACTGAGTGTTATTGGTTCATGAACTTCTAATTCCGGTTAATTTGTTTAGTGTTTCATAGACATTTATTTAAACCCACCATTTATTGGTCAGCGTTTCTCTCAGATGTTGTTTTACTTAGCAAACTACTTCGTGACGGAATAGAATGTCTTGAACCGTTGAGTTAAAACGATAAACGTGATCTACCTACTTCAGCTCAATGGGTAAAGCGTTCGGATTGTTGTAGTATTGCGTTACTAACATTATCATCGTTATGGTCATTGAGAGTAGTTGGTGAGTATAAATGTCAAAATATTGGTACCGTAGACTCTGTATTGAAACAGTGTAGATTGAGATAAGTAATTGTACTCAATGTAGCAGGTCGATATCATTTTTAGATAACAATTGAGAGTATATTAACATCTGAATTATACATTTAAAAAACTATTTATGAATAACTTACAGATAGTGTCAAATATTGTTATTCAATTTGAGATTAATTTGCAGAGATTCCGTGCAAGGTGATCACCTTTTGACATGTCCATACACTCGAAACACAACTGTTGATGGAAGTGTCAGTCTATTATAGCCTTCAGGGTAGGTTCTTAATTCAAATGATTAAAATGCCTCAATAATAAACAGTTCTGAATGGGTTATTCTGCTTAATAATTAAAACAGTAAATCTGTCTTCCATCTGTCATCTTAAGTTGCATTTACTGATATATATATATATATATATATATATATATATATATATATATATATATATATATATATATATATATATATATATATATATATATAGCTTTGTACTTAATTCACACAGAAGAGTTGAGGTCAACCATGAGGTTTACTGGAGTAGTGAGACTATGAAATGATAAATTGTAATCTGAAATACTTTGACTCACACCGAATTTCTATTATTCTAAAGTATACTATGAAGTTTAACGTACCAGTTCACAAAAAATATACTTTTCTACATTAAAGTACTTGGATCGACTATTCAATTGACATTGCTTTTCAGATCTGGAATACGGTTGTCACAAGGTGAGGTAATTTTCCTCTTAAGTATTCACAGTTTTAGTGAATAAAATATCCACTACATAGACAAAAATGCTCACTGTAACAAAATCAACAATTCATCTGAAATACTGCTTAAGTAAGATTGAATGCTATCATAGACCGTTCTATATCAGTCATATAACTTAAAGTTAAAGTACGATGGCTTACCATATCCGTGTTGACTACAGAGTGATCTTTTGAGAAAATTTCCAGCTGATGAGGAGATTTCATGTTTGAATCAGTATTTGTATCATATTTGATAAATGATGAATATAGATTATGACTTTGATTCTTATCAATGTGGTTATTGTTGATGTGATCCACTTTTTCTAATGTACGATATTTAGTCGGTGAATAAGCATTACTGATGTTAGTAATACGTTGAGTATTTACGGAGAATTGACTGTTACTGCACTGTTCGGTACTGCATAAATTGTAATTTTCTCGTAAGTGATTTGATGGTTGTCTAAGTTCACAAGTTGTCACCTTTTGACGTGTCAGTGTTATTGCAACAAGAAAAACAAATGCAACCAATGTTGATATTGCTATAAGACATATGATAACAATCCAAATTTTTTCTAAATTAAAATGCGTTGAAGCCTTTTGATTTGACCTAGCTGAAACTTTATCACTTCTTCGAGCATTTTCATTTGAATAAGCTGAGATAGAATGAATAGGTTGAGCATGAGTAGAACCAACGCTTTGTGTACCACTGATATCTTGTCTCAAGTGAATACCCTTGAATTCTATGTTTGAAGGTTCATGAATGACATCATCATCGTTTTTATGTGGTGCTGGACGATAAATATTTCTTGGTTGAGGTAACTCCATACTTGGATGGTGATATTTTCCAGCAATGAATGATGCTAACTGCGGTGAGTTACGATCTAATATAATATTAATGTTGGCATATCCCGAAAGACTTGGCGTACCGGCATCACGTACCTTTGGAAGAAAAAATGTGCCAAGGGGTTTAGTCAGCTAGTAAGGAATGGAAATCGGTGCTTCTGTTTGTTGAGTCACTTTAAAAGCCATACTAATAACTAAAGAAATAACTAATTAGGTATCTTTATTCCATCTGGAAAGACAGCTTTTTAATGAAATAAAGAAAATCTGATTGGCTGTTTCAGAAGCTGTCACTATGGTCTTTTGAGTCGCAGTAACTTGACTTTGCCTAATTCTATGGGCAATATAGTGAAAACTGAAACGGACAGACTTGTTAATTAAGTCATCCCATCACTGAAAGCAGTTATTCAAAGTCTACAAACGTGAAAGTACTTACTGGTTTGATAGGTGTACTTAATACATTGACCTTCCACGTCGTCAGAAGAATTAGGTTTTACTCACTGAATGAAATGCTTAAAGTGAACTAAGATCACTTTCAAATTCTAGGTGAATGACTATAAATCTGACAGACAAGTCCAGTAATGCCTGTTGTACATGCAGCTCTGCGGGAAGAATGCTATGTTATCTTATGTTTTTGTCACTCAAATTGGATGTGCTGTTGATAATGAAAACCAAAAAGCTATATAGTTCATGCAGAAGAAAGATGGTTGCCTCAACAACTAAACTCAAAATTGGTGGTAGTCAGTCATCAGGAAACCCTCCAGCTAAGTTATGTGCTTTTAGGCACTCAACATCAAGACCTGTCTACAATCAAGTGAAAACTGTTATTGCCTCGGTAATTGAAACTTATGTCATTCATTGCTGAGTCAAATGCTAAACCACCACTATATTCAGTGCACAACTGATTCTTTGTTAGAGTGGATTATGTACACCAATAGGTTGTCAATGAGTGCCAGATTTATCTGTCTACTCTTTGGTGCTAAACACTAGTCTAACATCAGAATACTGTGCACCTTAGCGTCATAACACCTTGTTTTATAGCCACATTGCAAAAAGCTGATTGACAGAGTTTGATCATTGATAAGTACTAAAGGCTAAGCAGTTTCTCATTGATGACTACTTTGTATAAAACCATAACACACATGTATCTGAAAATACATAAGTTAGCGATGAGATGTGGACTGCATATTGCAAACTATATTTAGGATGCTGACATATTCATTTGAGCTCAGATATATTCAGGATGTTTACAGGGTCTATTCGACGTATGACCGTGTTTCTGCATCAGAATGAAATTTATATAAGACCAAAGAAATTTTCAAAGCTCAGTCGTCAGGAAAATTCACTTCTACATATTTTCAGAACCAAACTCTTTAAACCACCATTCGAAAATACATTAATTCAATGCTTTACAACTACCACACTAATAGTGTCTTATGTACATACCTCAAACTTCAATTGGTGACGACCTTCAATGGAATAGGGATCGTCTGTTGGCTGCAGACATAATTCTCCACTGTGTGGATTAATTGTAAAAATCTGTTTCGTATTCGATTCATCATACAGATAAAAAGTTAATTGTGAATTGACACCTTCATCTGCATCTGTCGCAGTCAGTTTGACCAAGGGAATTCCCTGTAAGTAATGAAAAAATTTCACTTTGAAAAGTAATCTTAAGATTGAAGAGCATTTAATGATTGTGTTTACACATAAAACTGCCGGTAGGTGGATCTAATAGCTATTCACTGAGCCTGTTTCAGTTCATGTTTCAGGATACAATGAAGAGTTTACTTTGTAATTTAGTTCTGTTGCTCATTGATACGTGTACTCCATCAAAACTTCTCACATATCTTTAAAGGTTGCTTACGAAGAGTTCAGATCTTAGTTAAATACTACTCTTTACGCAGGCCATGTCATCACGTTGCTGATATTGCATTTGTCTTGTTACTACAAATTCAGCGAATGAAATATTACTTTTGGCTAAAAGAAGGTTCTGGCACGTTACTTTACGCTCAATATTAATGAATCTATTTCATGTATTAGAAAACTAAATAAAGTTTTATACTACAAGTTGAACAGGTCATCAATTTCAGAGCGATGGGACAGTTGAAAGTTGAAGCTCATAAATAAACGAAAGGTTCACTAGTAGCGATAAATTGAATTTCTATTGCCTACATTTTTAGAACTGAAAATAATGACTAATTTTACATTCTTGAGTATATGAAATAAGGAAAACAAAATCTTAAAAGTCAACAACATTTATTACTAACATATTACACGAACAATCTCTCAGACCAAGAAATATTTTCCATCTTGCATGATATGCATGAAAAATCGAAGATTTGACTATTTTTAGTTATCTCTACCATAATGCGACATACTTCAAGAATAGTAGGTTTCTGCAGTAAAAAACGAATTAATCCTGACCAAATAAAAACATCCGGCTTTTGAACGTTTTCAGGTTCCTGCTCATATTTTTAACTGATTTTGGTAAATCTTTCACTTTGTTTTCTGATCTTGGGTACATATGTAGGTGAAAAAAACCAATTTTCTTTTTGATTTTCAGGTTTGCAGGGATTTAGTGATTTCAGGTTGGTATTCATCATGGACTGACATCATTCAGAGTATTCTTGAAAACCTGAAAGCTCTAAAAAGCCGTCTTTTTCACAGTAAAGCATTCCTCAGTAGTGCGGTGGTTTAGTATGCTAGAGGTGTCATGAATGCCCATGGGTGGAAAGTCTTATACTACGACAAGACAACTACTCAGTGCCCCCAGATGGTCATTGGTTCTCAGCTCGTAATGAATCCTAAACTGATATCTTTTTATTTTTCCAGAAACAAAAGTCCGTCTCATGCCTACGTGACTGGATTCTTCATCTTGAAAATATCTGTTAAACTAAAAATTTTAATTCAATAAAATGTATCAATCAAAAAATTTTGTATGGTTTTGTTCATGATGAAAGTAAAAGGTAAAAGGTATAAGAATACCAACTAGACGTTTATTATATATGTCTGAAGTAAAAAAGGTGAGGAAAAATAGTTGGTAAAAGAGTTTTGGAAATGGTAGTCTTAAAATGACAGGAGGTAGGCTACATAGTTTCGGGAAAAGGTAACACCAGACTGTGAAACGTAGCTTTGAAAAATCCTGTTGATAGTCTTGAATCAGTGAAATTCAACAAGCTAGTTTTAAGTACACACAGACAAGCTATATTTTCAAATGCTGTGAGAACTAGTCAAGTCCCTTGGTGTTCACTATAGAGGTAACTTTTCATAAAATAAAGAAATGTATTTGGCTAGTTCACAAGTTGTTAGGTTGACATTTAAAGTCTCTATGTTTCAAAAAGTAATGAAGGTCACATTAGAAACCACTGAAATGGTCACGTAGATTTCATCATATCATAAAGAGAGGTAGCCTTTTCAAAAAATACACGAATAATTACTCACTATTTGTTAGAATGGCTTGAGAATCACTCCCATTTCAATCAAAAAACTTATTATTGGGAACGTCAATACTGATATCATTCGACTGTCACCATACGTTTATTACATGTGACTTTCTCTTCCGCTACGGACATAATTAATGCCAGAAACAATTACAAATTATCATTTTCTCGACCCACAAACAAAACAGTCAGATGATTCGTCCCCTAGAACCTTCATTAAATGGTAAATGTGACCGGTTACCTAATGACTTTAAAGGACAAACTAGCGTAAACACTAATATAACTAATGATATTTCTCTATTTAACCTGGAAAAGTAGTTTTTTCATAACATATAGAAATTTAATCCTCTATATCGACAGCCAGCAGAATGAACTTTCAATTTACCCTGATGATCATCTTCCTTGTTATTTGGACTTTGAATCACGCATGGTAATATTCCAATTACCAACACTCAAAGCGTCCTAATTTACAGAAATGAGAACAGTCGTACGGACACAAAAAAAGTAAAGGATTTTGTTCAACAAGCGGTTATTACTTAACTGCAAATTATACGAAATAAGCAAAGAATAAGTACGAAGCTCTTGCATATAGGTTAACAACCATGTTTTAAAATGTCTTGAGGAAAATGTGTTTTCAAATAAACCTATAAAAACATTACTGCATGTCTGACTTTTCTACTTTCCACTTTTTGGTCAGTTTATTGGCTCAGCCACTGAGAAATGATGCAGAATAGTTATTTATTCACTTCGCTCACTCTGTTATACTGGATTAGGAGTATACAAGCTAAGACAAAACGTAATGCAATAAAAAAATCTGCCTTTTTAAATACTACTCGATCTCATGCTATTGAAAATTCATTGAAACATTTTTTTTCCAATTTTCATCAATAGCTAGGGAACAAATGGTAGAAATAATTTTATGGAAGATAATTGCAGTTCACCAAAATAGTAGGCATTCAATTAGTTGCAGAAGAAAAGGGAGTAGTGATTTTAACTTTCATCAGTATAATTTAAAATGATCACCAGAGTAGTAAAATGTAATGATTGATATACTTTAAGGAGACATTCGGTGAGCTGAAAACTTAACGTTCTCAGTGTTAACAAACTAACAACGACTAATAAACATGTTCATAGTTACTGTCCGGTTCCAGCCATATAAAGTAGGAAGGTTGAGCATATGGCTTGCAACCCATACCAGAAAACCAATCCAATCACTAAAGATACTTCAAAGAACAAAGAACATTTAAAAAGAAAAAGAAAATTATTCCTCAGGAAGATGAAATGATGCCGGTTGGTGAGAGCCTTCGAGCACACAATTGACCAATGTCTCTTCTCTCCCACTCTCTCGATCAAAGCCAAAGTGAACATGTGGATATAGAATGTCTGCATCATCCATTAACCTAACAAGGCTGATCAGATTGCAGAGAGATGAGAAGGCACAGCACAGAAGTGCTAGAATTTGTGAAAGCAGATGGAATGGAAGTGGACTGTCCAAACTGTCAACTGGAGAGGAATCAACAATCTACTCCGATATTGTCACCCAGACGACATGACAACCACGAGTACACTGAGTTTTCAATGACTATCATGATGACTCCAACACCATCGAAGGCTCTTTCTCATGCACTGGGAGCCAATCTCCTCCTCCAGGAAACAGGACCATGACACCAAAGTTCAAAGCGAAAGGAAGGCAAGTCACAATCATACAATGCTGCACTACACTACGCTATGCATCTACAAATAATGCAGATGAAGAGAGGAAGGAGGAATTCTCCAGACAACTGCAATCAGTAATGGACAAGACACTACCGCAGTTGGTGATGGCAACATCCACGTTCTAATGCATGTGGTGACATGAGTGCCGAATTGGAAGCAGAGTACAGGAAGCGAACTGATCATGGGTGGAGAAGCACTCGATGAAATGAGAATGAGAATGGGGAATTGATTGCAGACTTCTGCGAATTCATCGATTTGGTGGTTGGAGGTAGTGTGTGCAAACACAAGGATACTGAGAAGGCGGTGACATGGATTTGATTTCACCAGACACCAGGACTCAGATGAAGAAGGGGAGTAGATGTATGTTGAGACCACTGATTATCTAGTGCAGAGAACCTACCTTCCAAATCAAGTTGAAAGCCTTTGAACGACCGTTGAAAGGCCACAGTTCAACTTGAAACCCACCCAGAAACTGAAATGAAGAACACAACGTCATGGGACATCTTCACATCAGTCAGTCAGTCATCAGGACAAAATGGGAGGCATTGGAAAACATCCTTGAAGGAACTTGTGTGAAAGAACACTGGAACTCTTTGAAAGAGATGTAGAAGGAAACTTGCATGACCGTGCTAGGAAAGAAGAAGAAAGCGGACAAGACAAGAAAAGACAAAGAATGGATCTCGATGGACACATGGAAGCCGACAGAGAAGAGAAGAGAAGAGGGGAGGAGAGGGGAGGAGAGGAGAGGAGAGGAGAGGAAGATGGTGAAGTGGAAGATGAACCAGTGCTGTGAAGTGCAGTGCAGTGCATGGATGAACAACGAAAATAGAGGTGAACAAAACCTTTAAAACACTACACTAGACAAAGCAGTGACGAAGAGTGTGCGAAAAGACGGAAGACACTTTCACGACACACTTGGAACTGAAGGTGAACAGGCTGTAGGTAGGAGAGACAGAGGCCTGACAACATTATATCAAACAACCAGGTTACCAACTCGGAGGGAAGAGATCAACACAGATGAAACCAATGGAAGATGGTGAGGAGGACGTAGTTAGTAAAGAGAAGAAACAGAGGAAACGATGGGGTGACTACTTCAAATCTCTCGGATCGACCATCACCACCATACCACCACCATTATCACCATATCATCACCACATTGTCATCGTTATGGTCATTGAGAGTAGTTGGTGAGTATAAATGTCAAAATATAGGTACCGTAGACTCTGTATTGAAACAGTGTAGATTGAGGTAAGTAATTGTACGCAATGAAGCAGGTCAATATCATTTTTAGACAACAATTAAGAGTATATTGACTTTTGTTTGGAGGGCGTGGCCGGATTTCATTGTGAAGTATTGTGAGGAAGAAATGACTGCTTCTGAGCAGTAGTGGAGCCAGATTCGAAGGACTGCAATGAAGAGAGTGCATGGTGGGATGCTACTGAGGCCATTTGTTCCACTGGTAACCAAAGGGACAAATAATGATCATAAAATTTTAACGAATTATTCTGAGAAATACGTGTTAATGTAATGCGAGCAGTAGAGGAACCACTGTTAAATCTTTTTCTTTTTCTACTCTAAATACAGTCAACAACATGAATTTTTTGGAGACCTTAAAAATTTTGTATTTTTGGCAGTCAACTGATTGCGAACACTCTATGTAAGCATGATCATTGTTTTTCTTAGTCTCTAAATCTTGCGCTATTTAACTCATAGACTACATTTATACACTGAACGTTCATTTCATCCATTTGTTTGATTTTTTTTCATCTCACTGTTCAATTCTGAACATATATATTTAAAAAATATAATTGCTTCTCGTAATTAAACTAATTTCAGTTGAAAATAATTTGGGTAGCTTATGCTTCAGGCTGTTTAGTGATTGTATAGTAGAAGTAGTAATAATTGTTGTCGTCGCTTGAGAAAATTAGCACCCTTATGTGTGTGGAACAATGAAACCCACAATGCTTGTTCCTTTGACAGATAGAAATGATTTCCTAGAATAATTTAATTCAAATCTGAAATCATTCGTACAACAAAGCGAAGTTTTAACAATGTTGAGTTGAAGGAATTTAGATAATTTGTATAATACGTAATTAGACAAAAGGAAACTTCAAAGACGCTGATTATCAGAATAAATGGTACGAATTCGCACTTCATTAATGACTTTCTTGTCGGGCTATGGAACGGTCCAATGTCGATGAAATAAAACTTTAAGTTGAACACAAGTTCCGAAAATGTAGGTAATTCAGACCCTTAGGAATATTACAGATTTACCATAGCTCAGTAGGCTTTTGGTCTCCTCAATATGAGTAGCATAATTGAATATACGCGTTGAAATTCACCCAAAGTTTATGCGAATAATTCAATTAGAGGATCTCGCGTTGTTTTGGATATTGAAACCACAGAATATTGGCATGGTAAACAGAATTAAACAATCATTTGATGGAAAACTTACAGGATTAGTGAAGATTGACGCATATACTGTATGGTTACTGTGGGTAGGATAAACAAATTTTGGTGGATTGTCATTTACATCGTACACTTTAATATGAACTTGGCAGGATGAACTTTGTTTAGGTATTCCATGGTCGAAAGCTAGCACCTAGAAAAAACAGTAACAAAAAAAGAAAAATTTGAATAAATCTGAGTGATCAAAGGCTTAGGCTGAATGAATTTCAAAGACGAAGGCTACTGAATGCATCAGTTCTATTTTCACAGCTTCAAATTCCTATTTATATATAAATGTGTGTAGCTTTTTATAAAAATTAAATTGCACAGTGCAATAAGCATGAATGAGGATAACATGTTACGAGCCATCAAACTAATCGGTGAATGAAGGAAACTGAATATCAAGGACGCAAGCGGGTTATCTTTGGCAAATTTCACAAAAGCGAACGACTGACTGGAAAATATTCTGGAGATTAAAAAGTTGTGTGTAGGTTAACGACTAAAAGCAAGATGAAGCAAAATTAGTTAAGGGAGAACATAGATTGAAGACGGAAATGAGGCGTTTTTGTCAAACGGGAATGGATTAAGTTATATTACTTCATGGTAACTGTAAATTTTAATGAAAGACAGAGAGGGGACAAAAAGAAAGGTTATGCGTATGAAGGATGACAAAATTAGAAATAGAGATTGAATATTCCTATGGATCTGAAAATCTGGCTCTTTGCATGTTACTTAAAGCACGTAATAATCTGTTAGGTATAATATTATCTGTGTTGATCACTCACACATAACCTAGTTAAAAGGGATAGTAATGCTCTTGAATCATGTCAGAAGTCATTCGTGTGAGTTTTCACTAAAAGCTACGTATGATTTCATTATTATCAAGATAAGACTATATACTTCTTAGATTTAAATTCTTAACTTATAATCGCACTGTAGATAAAGACGATTCATTCTTGTATTGATCGCCGTAAAGTAATAAGTATCATGTAGTCCCATAACGCGACTGAATGTTGTAGATCATTTTATAATGTGTCGCCAAGACAAAAGACTCATCCTCACGGTCCAACTTGATTCGTGTCAGATGGTCGAAGACAAACTACATGAAACTGTGAACATAGGTTTCGTGCTTGTCAGCAACTACTAACTAGGCAAATATGGTGTGGGTTGAAAAGCGTCATGAGGCATCATTTCCTTTAAGATTAAACATACCCTGCAGATAACTGCCAACAGTAACAAGACCTGGGTTCAGAGACGTTCGGATGATGGCTCTTAAAATGGACGAAGCACCAGTACTCGAATCCTCTGCTAGTCATTATTCATTCTCAGTGTTGATGACTGTTTCATTTTGGAAGACGAGCAAAGTGCAAAATCTTATAATTCGATAAGCTGTAAAGTTTCATATTTTTGACTACGTTGTTGAGGCTTAAAGGACAGAAAACCACTATGTTCTATGTCCTGAACTTAAATATTTTCTATGATTTCAGATACCTGTAACTCAGAATGCTGTGGTTCAGACATTAGTGTTCTCTGGGATCACATTTCATAAGCAAGCGACCTGAAAGTTATTGGACTGATTGTTCACCATTCGATATTTCACATGTAATCCAGGCTTTATATTACTAGATATATGTCTGAGAATGAAGTAGCATGGCGGTCATGTAACATACAAGTGATAACAGAAAACTGAATTTCCTACTAAAAACTGAAAAACTGAGTTTACAAAAAAGGTGATATTTTAAAATTCCGTTACAAATTCGGATAAGATTTTGGTACTATTCACTTTCATACAAGTCATTCTTCGTTATTCTGTACTGAAGAGTGCTTTGATGCTGTATTTTTTCTGAATCTACCTGACTAGGTCAATTATCCAAAATGAAATAATAAAAGTAAGAGTTTTAGATGTGTCTACATAGTGGGATTATTTTGCATGGCATAATAACTTTAATAAAGCTCACATTATTTACTTTGGGGATATATATGCTGAAGGTATATCTTTCAGCAGTTTGTAACACTTAATACACACCATCTCTTGTAACCCAGAGGATGTTAAGTGAACACACTTTACTCGTGTTCTGGCTAATAAGTGACTGTATTGAACCCAAATAGTGACGTTTAAGCTTAACATCAGATTTAGACTCTTAAAAAAGGTTTTCCTAGCAAGCTCGAAAATTCATGCGAAAAGTATTCCCTTTAGAAATGCGAGGAGATTTAACGTTTTCAGTTTGATATTGATCATGGACTAACATCTTTCGCAGAACTATACAAGCCTTAGAGAACTGGATGCCTGTTTCGTCCTAGCATTTAAGTTTTAAAGAGTGCACTACTTGAACCTTAAGGATCCATAGCGAAGACGTTACCACTAAGCCAATCAGTCGAAATCCAATGGTTTATATTTTTCTACTTCAGTCAACTTGCCATACAGCGTGACCCTCATCTAATACCACTGTTGAGTATTTGTCCTCACGTTTAACCTGGCTTTCCCCATCGGTCACGATTTCTCGATTGAACTGGGTGGTTGTATTCTAGGACAAATCAACTGCGTAGTGATCTCAGATTTTCAATTGTTTTATTATGTCTGATATCGATCCATGATGAATACCTGCTGAGAAAGAATTTTTTATTTGTTGTTTATTTTTGCATACTACACTGGGATTACGAAAGTAGCTTACATTTTTTCAATGAGCATACAGCAATTATCAGGAACCTACCATACGTTGACATATATGCGATGAAAAAAGCAGTTCCCTGTTCCAAACAGGATTTGAAGCAAACGGAAGTAAAGAATCAAAATGTTAACGTTATTTGCTGATATTCATTACTTCAGTGCTTCTAGAAATGCATCGTCAGGATACAGTTAACTACTTTTTCCACCATGAGCTATCATTCATAAATTAGCAGCTGAACATATTCCATACTGAAAATTCCCATCCAGACATTTCTAAAAAAATTGATTGGTTGGAGAAGAATATAGTTCTTTGCAAAAGCAGTCAGTTTTTTCTCTTCATTATTTCTACACAGAACCTAAACTATATTTCAGCTGTTCACATCAGTAATGATAAGGTTCAAATTGACATGAAACCAAAAGAAGATACATTAAAGGCGGTTTTTACTTAGACTAACACGCTATGATATTTTCGGATAAAATTTCTATAAAGAAGTATTCGTGAAATACAGAATAAGCACTTTCTTTCATAAAGTCTGTCAGCTGGAACTACCTGCCTTTCTTACTATTTGAGACTTGTCAAATTTGAACAGCACCGAGACAACAGTTAAAGCTTTAGGTAACTGGCTATTTGAGTCTAGTAAGGTATCCGACGAGCTATTACCGGAAAAATCAGATAATTTTTACGGCTTCGTCTTCCAAATTAGATGTTAAAAAGATTGTCAAATCTTCCTAAAACTGCTAAAACTACTTACTTTCACGTCTAAATGTGAATAAAGTTTAAATAAAACTTCAGTTACCCTTTATGCAGAATTTAATTCATACAAGTACTTTGAAGTGAAGTCGGTGTTACAAATGGCTAAAATAAAACTCGAAAACGATGCATCTAGTGCGAGACCAACAAAAACATCAGGTAAGAAAGTAATATTACTTCCAGTTAGACAATTTAGTGGCTTACTTTAAAAGCATAATTATCCAGTTTTTCTCTATCCAATGGTGCTCGTAACCATAATGTACCATTATTTCTATCAAGTCGAAAGGTTTTTATTGCATTACCCTGTGAAGATAAAAGCAAGAAAAAAATTACAAAATTACGATTGAATGACAGTTTTTAAAATTTGACAGTCTTGATGCTCTTGTCATCATTAACTGATTGTATATAAACTGCTTATGCTGGGAGTTAGTAGTACTCATTGTGGTCCCGAACATATTTTCCATCCATATCAAGACTGATCAGATCAATGTTATTTACAGGATCATGTTAACTTTAATACAGCAAAAATAAATATATCACTTATCCGATTAGTATAGAAGGGAAGCAGTATATTCCAATACTGTCAACACTCGAAGATCCTAAATAATCGAACTATGATTACAATTAGTCTAGAGAAAGATAGAGCCTGAAAAGTTGTAGTAGGTGAAGCAGCATTATTAGCATGCCATAGATTGCTGAAATTTAATATTTCATTCAGTTAGATATTTTGCTGTGGAATTCATCAATTATTTATCCTTTATTTGCTTATGTATAACCACATTCAGCGAAGCAAAAGAAATTCGGAATGGTCAGATTTTGAAGAATCAAGCATTTCTTCAACTTTAATAGAATAAATTATGAACCACTTACTTTGACCCATAACATAATTTTTTAGGGGATATGATTCATATAAACCGAAGGTGCGTAGTCATTGCAGCTAACAGTTATCTGTAATCTTATGATCAGGAAAAGTTAATGCAGTAGAGAACTTAGTTAATGATTCTCTGGATGGTGTCCATTCATGGTGAAAAGCATTTTAAAGTAAAATAATTTAACTGTGTGATGGAAGCTTAATACATCTATATCGCATCTACGATTCCGAGATGATAATTATCAGTTGTGAAGCTAGAAGTTGTATTTAACTGTTGTTCCGCGATTCACACTATATATTTTTTTGGAATGTAGATATTTGTACCATTTTATTAAATCCCTTACAATCCATCTGACTGGTCGAAGAAGCGTGGTTCGCTTTTATTGCCAAATTAAAAACGGAAAGATTAGTGTGATAATTTCATAAACACTACTTTTATGGAAATAGATCCTACGATACTGTGTATAAAATGATTCTACTTAAGTTTTTTCCGATGTTCACTAAATACCTTATTCTAACCACCTATTTTGTAGCACTAATTTGATGCCAGTGATGTATAAACTAGTTTCTTCAGACTGACACAATATGAAACAATCCGTAAAAATTACGGATGGGGGTCGGTAGATAAGGAATTACAGTGATGGATCTGCAGTCCTGAGGTATGATAAGAATCAAATTTCCATTCTCGGGAACATTTTGATTGAAAATGGATTCCCATCACACCTTACAGACAAACATTTCAAGCCATACTCTAGCGGACAGAATGCTGCCACCATGTTAGGAAAGATGCTTCATATGGAACTGAATTTCAGGATAATTGTTTCGCTGACACTCTAAAGGAGAGGATATCAAACTATCTAGAAAGAACTTCTTCACACCAGCGCTCAGACTAGTATTTGCTTGTCATTTAGTGTTTTCTAAGAAACTGAGAGACAAATATCCGCATCTGACCACTTCTGTGTGCGTGTATCAGTTCATTCGTCTTATGAAAGTCAGATAAATGGGAGGTTCGATGAGACTGCCATCAAAAAGGGTTCGTGAACATTATCTCTCGTGGCTAGAGCGAGGTGACAGTGAATCGATAAGAGATACTAAAGATGAAAAAGTCATAAACACGTTTCGCTGTATTTTAGGAACCTTTGCATTCTAAGTTATTTATAAAGTGAAGAGAAACCTTCCAAAGGCTGCATATTCTTGCATTCTTCGCCGAAGATCCTGTCATCCAAATGCAAAAACCTGAGCCTTATTCGCAAAATGCCTGTGAATATTTCAAGTTAGCGTTAACCCCCATCATAGTTGTAGATTCATTGAAAGCCTGGGAGTACTCGACAACTATTTTCTCATAGTACAGGATTCCTCAGTATTAATCCCTCACGATCCCATCAGGGGTCAAATTCAAAGCTTTAAATCTCATGGCGAATGCGTTAACCACTTATCACAAGGTCACGCTTCAGTGGTCGACAGTTACGTATTTCTGTCAGTTTGTTAATTAAGGCGACTATGCACCAAAATCTGCAGTTAGCACCGGCTTCACTTTCAACTAGTTGAACCCACAGGTCATCGTTTTTCGGTGGAACTTCGTGGTATGCATCTCAGTCTGTGATTAATGAGCACTATATATATATATATATATATAAAGTCTTTTGGCTACGGGTAGGTCGTGTTCAGCTTTTAACAGGTGGTAGAAATATAGGCTTTCGGAACTGTATGAGTTACTTGTAAACTACCTTAGGAGATGAATCGCAAGGAGCTGTATGAGCAAAGTCTAAGAAGTGTTTACATATGGATAAAGTTTCTGTTCTACGATTGTATTTGTTGAATCATAGTGGATCGTCTTTGGCAACGCGTCACTGGAATACCGCTTACAACGTCCAGTATACTAAGCTCCAGAGAAGTACGTAAATTCATGAAAATACATATGAATATTAGCGGAAAGCTTTCCTTTATATATTGCCAAATGAGTGACGTCTCGATAATACCGGTCGGTGGCGAACGGAGAAGAAAGTACTTTTGACGTGCATCTGCTTAATACTTCAGCTGCGTTATCCGCTTCTATCCTTAAATTGATTGGCAAAAGCTTACCAAAAGACAGTTCAGTGCAAAGTTTATTTCCGATGGATCATATTCAGAAGTTATATATCGTATTTATAGTTACAAAGCTAATGGATCAACAAAAAGTCATCACAATTGGTAACTGTAGTTAGCGTAATTGTGGCTGAGAAACCCACACATCGTTTACTTTAGAATGTATTAAAAAAAGTTGTTAGAACTACATGGTGTTTACGTAATAATTTATGTGGTAATAAGGCGGGTAAGAAACGTGTGACAGTAAAACTGAAATTAGCGATCACAGAGTAAAAAGGGATACAAATAACAATTTTAGTAAATAAAATAAAAGAAGTCATACGACTATTTTGACTGAAGAAAACTTTGAGATCGGATGTATCTCTTTTGAATGCAGAGATAAGGCTTCAAAATGATGGCTTTACATGTGTTCAGGCGACCAGTTCAAATTCCCTTTAAATGTTTGGTTTAACTTTATGAATGACCGTGGGTTATATTATTCTGGTAGAATGGCATGACTATTGTTAACCACATACTAAACAGTGGAGGTACCATTGGATTTGCACTCTCCTGTAGTCAACCGTACAAAAACGTGTTCGGAGACGTATTTAGATAGAATTTGTTTTATGTGACCTGTATAACGAGATTTTCAAAGGCGGGTGAATTAGTAGACACAAATAAGGGTGACCAGATGCGTTAGTTTATCCTTTGCACACCACTGAGCCAATTTTGACTGAGGAAGATACTGTCCCAAGGTAGGTGGAGAAGAAAGTTATGTTCAGCGCTTTACACAGCTAATTACTCAGTATCTCTTTTAAATCCAATATAAGCAAGTATTATTTTATTTGGAATAATAAGGGTTTGTTGTCGTTACTGTTTAGGAATTATTTTCCTCTCAATGAATCCTGAAGGATAACTATTCATGAAGAGCACTCTTTACAGTACTTCGAGCTCATCACTTACTGAATCATTTAAACAAGTTCTTCGATTTCCTGTGCACATTGAATGAATTCAGATTAGTTTTTGACTAGGGAAACTTGGCTTTAAAAACTGGTATTCTGTTCATTGCAGGCTTTTTTCCTGTAAACTAGTCTTCTTAGATAACTATCATGTCTTCTCAACAGAACTTCCAAGGAGTGAAATTTTGAGTTACTTTCAGTTTTCAGAGTGAACTTAATTGACTCTTGACATTCATTGAAATTGTGTAGAGTAGCTTGAAGGTTACATCTTTCCTAACTGATGATGAAAGTGTCATCGTATGTTTTGTACGCGGATTGAACTCGTCGGCCAATGGACGTAGTTTGTCATTCTCGAGAATAACCCTGAAGCAATCTGCTAAGAGAGAAGCAAAAGGTGAGCTGAATGTTTTTCCATCTTTTTATCGGAACGGTCATGAAAAATCTGAACTCCACATTTAACGAAGCCGAGTAAATCACATATACTGTGCATACTGTACTGATTCTTCAAGGGTTGGAGAATTTCGGTCAGCCATCGACAAACCGCAGATTGCTTCTATACTGTTAACATCTCACAACATGCAATGGTATGGTGAGTCCCCAGCTTGGTGGTTGCACTCCAAAATATTCTGTAGAATTCAGTCAATGTTCAAGACCAAAACCCACTGAAACAGTTACTCTTGAATGAAGAATCAATCAACTTTTATAACTACTATTTTGAGAAAATGTTTTGTCGCGTATAAAACAGTCTTACTCAGATATATGTGGCCCCCAGTCAGGTGGTATAATTGCTGGGCGAATCAAAAATCTATTTGTTTATTTCAAACCTCCTTCGCAGAATATTTGAAAAGTAAGTCATCAAAAGTAATGTGTCTTGGAACACTTTTTTAAAAATATATACACGTTTCAATATGAAAACAGCATTTAATTCATTCATAATTTAATCTCAAATCTCCATTATGAGATGCAAATTAAGACCAAAGATATGGTCATTGTTACTAGATGATACGTAGCGATGAAAACGATGAAATACGAGTTCACTGATGCCAAAGGACTTTCCTATGCATTAAGTCGTGTCAAAACCAATAACGGCGTGAATTACTACGCATTCATAAAAGAACCGAATTGTAGTAAGCCATCTACAGACAACGGATCACCATGGAAAAAAAAATTACTAGTAGTATCCATAAGATAAGTTTGTATTGAGGTTGGATATAGAAATCTGTTGTGCTCTAGAGGATCAAAACAAAGTTTTTAATATAACAAAGAGCATAGTATTCTTTATCATCTTTTTAAATAAGATAATTTGATTCGACCAAATGGTGTATTGCATCATATTTCTAATTGTATTCAATGTCGCTACTATTATTATTATTCACCAACCACGAAATATAATTATTTTACAGCCAGTG